TGTTGTTTGTTGTTTGTTGTTGTTTGTTGTTGTTTGTTGTTGTTTGCTGTTGTTTGTTGTTGTTTGTTGTTGTTTGTTGTTTGTTGTTGTTTGTTGTTGTTTGTTGTTGTTTGTTGTTGTTTGTTGTTGTTTGTTGTTGTTTGTTGTTGTTTGTTGTTATTTGTTGGTGTTTGTTGGTGTTTGTTGGTGTTTGTTGTTGTTGTTTGTTGTTGTTTGTTGTTGTTTGTTGTTGTTTGTTGTTGTTTGTTGTTGTTTGTTGTTGTTTGTTGTTGTTTGTTGTTGTTTGTTGTTGTTTGTTGTTGTTTGTTGTTGTTTGTTGTTGTTTGTTGTTGTTTGTTGTTTTTTGTTGTTGTTTGTTGTTGTTTGTTGTTGTTTGTTGTTGTTTGTTGTTGTTTGTTGTTGTTTGTTGTTGTTTGTTGTTTGTTGTTTGTTGTTTGTTGGTTTGTTTGTTTGTTGTTGTTGTTGTTGTTGTTGTTGTTGTTGTTGTTGTTGTTGTTGTTGTTGTTGTTGTTGTTGTTGTTGTTGTTGTTGTTGTTGTTGTTGTTTGTGTGTGTGTGGCGTTGAGTTTGCCACATGATTGGATTGAATGTTCTTCAACACAGATTGAAAGCCTAGTTTCCTGTCTTTTGTTTTACAAATGGAGGATTTCCCTTCAGGATCTGGATAATATTGAAGTCATGTTGTTTCACTTTTGCGAAGGCTGATGACCTGTCAAGAGGGATTCCAATGGTTGGGGAATCATGGGGATTGAACCAGCAAGAATGGGGGAACTTTCAATCAGTAAGTATTCAAACGTGGCAAGGAGAAATCCCGCAAATATAGAGGGTTTTCGCCGGACGGGACAATCATCTATACATAGTGTTTTTTCCATTGCCATATTTGATTACTGGAAGGTGTATAGTGAGGTGAGCATATAACTGGCACAACCATGTTAATTAGAATTATATAAAGAGAACACGGCGATGGCAATAGTTTGGTGAAAGCACCGGGTTAGTGGGTCACTGATTGCAGTTTTCTGTGTATATATATATATATATGTGTGTGTGTGTGTCTTTGCATACAGTTCTGTACCTTTTCCATGCCTATCATGGATCACAATAGGTAATATTGGACATACAGTAGCATGATATGCATGACACAATCAACAAGCGAACCTTGGGGATCTCATGGACCCAGCCCGCTTGCCCCTGACCTTTGCTTCCTCCTAACCTCCGGCAATCAAGAAAGTTTTGGCTCATCACCAGGACCTGGTTTCTTGAGATGCAGGTTGTGTTTTGAACATGCTTGGCACCTTGTCTGGTTTTCGTTGGCAATGCTGGTTATCAAACACTATTATATATATATATATATGCGTATTTGGATGAGTATTTACCCAAGTGGATAAGGCAATTTTAGTGACGGGTTGCTCAACCACCAGCCAGTTGTGCTTTAAAAGGTGTCAATGGATAAATATGTTGTTTTGTACTGGCAATCAACTTTTGATGTTTCAATTTCATCAATGTTTCAAATCAATGTGGGCCTCGCGAGCGGTCGCAGCACAATTCTGTCACTTCCGGACTCCTCCAAAGTAGGGGATTTGAGGATTCTGGCACAGGAATCTTTTGGCCAAGGCTTTCTGCGGCTTGTCACTGCGCAGGGCCACGTTCTTGCCAATCCTTCTGAAGCGATCCAAACCGCTGGGATTTGCGATGGGGACCACCTTACGGCAATTGTACTGCAACCAAAGGTAGCGGCAACAGATGAAGCCTTGGCTTTTTGGCACAGTGGGGGTGACCGAATCATCACCTGGGGAGATCGGGGAGCCGGCGGGGACAGCTCTTCAGTCCGAGGTCGGCTTCAGAATATCCAGCAGGTTCAAGGCATCAACCGCGCATTCGCTGCAATCCTGGGAGATGGGTCAGTGGTCACATGGGGTGACCGAACTCAGGGCGGTGACAGTTCTGAGGTCCAACATTTGCTCCGCAATGTGCAGCAGGTTCAAGGTGCGTCTCGCGCCTTCGCTGCGATCTTAGCAGATGGGTCTGTGGTCACCTGGGGAAATCCAATTGACGGTGGTGACAGTTCTGCAGTCCAGGAGCAGCTCAGGAACGTGCGGCAGGTTCAAGCCACATACCGTGCATTTGCTGCGATCCGGGCAGACGGTTCTGTTGTTACATGGGGTGAGCCAGGGGCCGGTGGTGACAGCTCTGGCGTCCAGGGACAGCTGAGGAATGTGCAAGAAATTCAGGCCACGTATCGTGCATTTTGTGCGATTCTGGCAGATGGATCAGCGGTTGTATGGGGCGATGGATCTTGGGGTGGTAACAGCTCTGCAGTCCAACGTCAGCTCAGGAATGTGGAGCGCGTTCAGGGGGCACACTTTGCATTTGCCGCAATTTTGAAAGATGAATCCATCGTTACTTGGGGCCACCCAAGTTTTGGTGGTGACAGCTCCAAAGTTCAAGGTCAACTCAGAGGTGTGCAAGAGATTCAGATGACGCAGACGGCATTTGCAGCAATCCTTGCAGATGGCTCTGTTGTTACCTGGGGCAATCCACAGCGGGGTGGCGACAGCTCCAAAGTCCAGGATCAGCTGAGGAATGTGCAGCAGCTTCAATCTACAGAGCGCGCGTTTGCTGCGCTCCTTGCTGATGGATCGGTTATCACCTGGGGGGACTCAAAAGCCGGTGGGGACAGCTCTGCAGTCCAAGGTCAGCTAAAGGGTGTGCAGCAGATTCAGGCCACAGACGGGGCCTTTGCAGCGATCCTGGCAGATGGATCTGTTGTGACATGGGGCGATGCAGAATATGCTGCTGGGTAGCCATATGTAGCCGTACACTTTCTTTGTCCCTCTCCAAATTTAATCAATGTATATAATCATATTTAAACATAAAAACAATATACTGTACTTGAATAGGCTTGACATTATATAGCTGGTTTCACCATGGCTTGACCATGCTTTACATTGAGTCTATACAAATTTGTCGCGTCTATCCACCAAGGCTGGTGACAGCTCGCCGGTGCAGCCGCAGCTGCGAGGCGTGCAGCGTTTAGCTGCGACGAAGCGCAGCTTCGTCGCGCTGCTGCACTCGGGGTCCCTGGTGACCTGGAGCCGTCCCAACGTCAGCGGCATCAACACCTTGGTGCGAGCCCAGATTCAAGAAATGTGGTGAAGGAAGGCATAACCAGAGCTTGGAGGATTTGGAAGGACCTTGCCACTTTTGATATCTCTTTACCTTTTTTACCTTTTTTTAGCTGGGGGGGGTTGGCAAATGATTTTTGATGGGGACTTGATGAGGCTTACAGAATGAGATTTATGGGTGAAACTGAACATGGCGTACTGTATGTCCCAAATGGCAATTTAACAGGGAAAACGATGATTGGATCTTGATGAGTTAATGATACCAAATTTTCAGACAGGTCGATATTGCAATATATTCTACTATATCCAATTTGCCCATTTGTGGGGTATCATTTGGAGGCTTCTGGGGGGTGGGGGGGTTACATTGGGAGTTACACATGGCTTGCATTTAAAGCCAGACCATACCTATAAACTATAAAGGATGCTTATTATCACAATTCACCACATTTGCATACATTTGCACAAAGATGCAAAGACCGTACGCTCACAGTGAAGAAAAGAGATGCTTTTGCTGCGACTATCCCGCGAACAAGCTGCACGTGTTTCCAGAAGTTCGTGAAACTCAAGGCAGATTCCTTATTCTATAAAGTTTGTAGACTACAAGATCGGCTATGCTATGTTTTTTGGCTCAGTGATTTCAATTTTAATACCCCCAAATTTGGACCTGATGAACATTGAAACAATTATCCAATCCATCCCAGCGTCAAGCATTGCTGATGTCATCAACGCACGGAATGTGACCAAGAAAGAACCTTTTGATGTGTTATTTGTTTTTGGACCCTCTGGTAATTTAACACAGCCATGGAAATTTACTATTTTTTAATAGGTAAATCAAATCATATATATATATATATAAATGGTTACAAATGGACCATGTGAAAGTATTCTGTAGCTACAACTATGTAAGCAACCCAAAAAGAGATAGAAGTGAAATCCTAAAATCAAGTTTTTAAATTGTGGTAACACTTAGCTACTTGGTACTGTTCTATCCTGTTGGGGGATACTCAAGTCTACCCGGCTTTCACCAGGACTCGAACACGGAGCAATTTCCTGAGAATCTGCCGAGGAAATGGGGATATAATGGGGATATCACGGAGAATCTCCCAAGGGAGGTGCCCGCTGGTGATTTTATGGGGAAGTATCACTATAAAAGCATATTTTAGTACCGACAATATGATATAGTATCCGAAAATGGTGGATCCAACCCCCACATGGCAAATTTGATGGGGAAACTTTTGGATTTTGGTGTACCCTGTGTTCAGACACACCTTTAAATGGGTGCTTTGATTCTTGTTGGTCAAGTCTCATCAGGCATGGCAGTTCTGAAGTTTCCTGAGGGGTTCTTTGATGCTCTTTGCGCTTGAGTATGTGTTTATCGTGGATAGGAAATGTGTAGCTAAACCTTGTAGGAAGTATGTATTGTGCATATGTGCATGCATGTAGACGACGATCTAGATGGATCTTGTGCCCCAAAAAAATGTGGATGAACCATACTTTAATCCCATCAAATAGCTTTGTGTTTTTTTGTAATTATTGTGTTCCTGTGAAATGCAATGATGACAGCAGACCTTTGAATGTAATTTAACTATATCTCTGGAAAGCGGTCCATTTAGGATGGTTTTCCCTAAATATTGATGGTTTTCCTAGGTCATATTGATGGTGTTTATGATAAACCCCTACTTAAACATGATGATTTTCCATAGCTATGGCGCCGAGGCCGGCTCAGATGGTCCTGGCCACCATGGCACAGTTGCGAAGTTTGAGAAGAGATGATGAGGTGCACTGGTCGTGCGCTGCGGGTGCGACAAAAGGCTGGGAAAATGATGGTTTTCATGGTTTTATGATTTTTTATGGCATTTAATGATGATCTTTCATGGGGTTTAACGGTGAATATCATCAACTTGATATGAGTTGCATGTGTTTGAAAACGGTGTATACCGACCATATCTAATTGTTTTCATAGGGAAATATAGTGATTTGATTTACAGTGGATTGACTGTGGTACCCTATTTTCAGACAAACCCATGTGTCTCATGGTTTTCTGTAAACACATGATGATATATAAATGATGATATATATATAATAAATGATAATTACACATGATGATAAATGATGGCATTAGATGACATTAGGATATATATAATAATCATCATCATGCGAATGCCAACGTATGACAATGTCATGATAGAAATGATCATCTATGCGCAGATAAAGGTGATAAACATGAAAATTATGATAAACCCTGGAATTCTGGGCATCAAACTTGCGCCAAACAAAAGCTGATATGGGTGTGGATCAAAGTTTTTTCTACGCAGCAAACCGCAGATTTGGAGAATTTTCAGTTTAAACATGTTTTAACCATCCCAAATATTGGAGTAGCCAAGTAATACTCGTACCGTGGATGTAAAACCACCTGATTTCGCATGTACTTGTGGCTTTGAAGAAGATGACATCGCCAATCATCAATTCAGACTTCAGACCCTACGTTTAAGGGTTAGCCATGTGCCACTCCTTTGGCGGGGAGGCAGCTGATGCTGCAGCTGTTACTTTCAAGTGGAGGTTGAGCTGCCATGGAATATGAAGCAGATGCCCCTGAATGTTTTTTTTCACACGAGTTGGAAGACAATTTTCCACAGTCCGAATCTAAAGTAAGAACACGAGAGTGTGTCCAAAGACGCTGTCTATGATTCAAAGCAGGAAAGGTTGAAAAGAGAAACTCCGCGGCTCCAACGGGCCCTGTCATAGAGAAATCCAACAGACCCAGAGAGTATAACTTGCCACTTGAAGAGGGTCGGCCAAAGGATTCCCAATTCATTTGTGGTATTAGAGGGACTTTGGGGATCTTTGGGGTATGTCAGCCACCTGATGTAAGCTACCTACTGATGTCAACCTCCTGACTCAAAGTTGAATTCTAGTCGCCATCTCATCGCCATGGATGGAAAGCTTTGCGTCGAAGTCCAACAAGCCAGCGGCCTGTGCAATTCTGATGCCTGGACGCAATGAGCCAACTGGCCGATTCGCATTGCCTCAATAGCACACATGAGCAGTTCGAGAACCTTATTCTATTCTGGTTTGTATATGTTTATATCAGTAGCCTCGGGTTCAATCACAATTTCTATTGGCGACCGTAAATCCAACTGCCGCTTTTCAGGCTCGTGAACGATTACCGTACAGGACCCAAGTATATGCTTAGCCTTGTTTTGTGAGCTGCAGAAAATGAAACCCAGAACTATATACTGTAAATCAAATTTGTTTTGGTAAATCATCCATTTTTTCCGATTTTGTGCCCGAGTTTGAGCCCATAATGCATGGACATCACTTTTCATAGTGTTATCGGTCTATATTTGTTTCACCAGTTTCAGCTAGATTTGGGTTTGTCTGAAAATAGTGTACCCCCAAATCCATTGGATATTATAATCATTTTCCCTTTATTTAAATAGCCATTTAGAGGTATACAGTACCCCATTGTCATACATACTCATTTCTGGCAGCTTCCCAGGAATATCGTTTCTTTGACATCACCAGCAAGCTGCTGGGTTGTCGCCGGATCCGGCCCTACATCACCTGCAAGATTCGTTGGGGCTCGCAGGTCGGCTGCCCAGCCTCCGGTTTTTCAGGAACAAAATGGAGGAAAACCATAGGAAAACCAAAGAAAACCATAGGAAAACCAAAGGTGGGATGTCGCATTGTCCAGATTCATTGCTTCCGATGGCAACAGCACTGCCATCACTCCGGCGAAGCACTGTATGTTTAGCACCTACAGAACTCTGGGTGTATGCCGTCCTCTTATCCAAAGCTGGGATGTTGCATCATACGAAACCATAAAAAATCATAGGAAAAACATGGAAAACCTTGACCATATTGCGCAAGTTCTGCATTTCTTGGTTCCAAATGTTTCCTGAAATCAACTGAGATTGCTGGGTCGATTCGTCTCGGCTCAGGAAACTGAGACGAAGCGTTCTCCCCACATCGAAGCGGAGAATGGCGACGCCTACTGGGGCCGCAAACTCCTCTTCCCTTTGGACCAGGACGAGTGATGCCTGGGATATTCTCCAACTGGCTTATGGCTATTACCCTCTGGTAAACTAACATAACTATGGAAAATCACAATGTTAAATGGGTAAATCAACTATAAATGGCCATTTTCAATAGCTATGTTATTTTACCAGAGGGTATATGCCATTATGATCCATCATGGAACCACTGGTGATCAATCTTCACCAAGTTGAGTGGGATGCTCCGTCCCTCAGAAGCAAAATGAACCAAAGTGGATGAATATTGATGATTTGTTTGGATGTGATGGCAACATACCACCCAGCAAATCAAAACAATTCCATTGAAACTTCAATTGCCTCTTTGATATTGAAGCCATTTGTAGCAGGACTTCTGGAAGATGCAAAATTTCAAGGCTGGCGGGGGTGACTGTCCAATCTGTATCAGTTGTGCAAGCAGTTATGGCCAAGTCTTAGTTGCAGTATTCTCTTCACTCCTCCCTTCGATCGGCCATGGAGATATAGCTACGATGCGGGTTTTTAAGTGGAATACACCCCATTGTACCCCACCAGAAGACTGGGTTGTTGAAGGATTCCTAATCGATCAAAGCTCACACCCTCCATGAAAGAAGTGTTCTCCATTTTGGCCCGGGGTCTATATATATATATTACTATTACATACTGGATACAGTATATGCAAATACATATATATATAATGTTTCAATGTTTTATTGGTGAAACAACGGCACCACATCATGGACGCCCATGATCCAGGCCAGGAACATAGGGTTCGATGATGGTTCGATGTTTTACCACATGGTAACCCAGGTGACAGAATCCTTCGTTGAATCTTTCAGTGACATTTCCACCACCAAAAATAGGTAAAACATCCATAAAACGGCCATGTTCATCCATGTTACATAACAAACAGTGAAATGACAGGAGGATAGATCCCATTATATAATCATCATTTCTGAGGTCACGTTTTGTTTCCAATTTCTTGATGCTTACATCAGTGAAATTCAACCTTTTTAAGGCTTTCTGAACATAACCGGAGGACCGGCGGGGGTTCCCACGAGTTCCCACGAGTTCCCACGAGGTGACGGTGGAAGCCTTCGACAAACGCGAGTTGCAGGGCGCCCTGCGGGGGGATTCGCTGATCGGCCGCGGGGAGCTGCACTTGGACTCCGCACAGCTGGGAGCTGCACCGCAGCGAAAGGTGCCGGGAGAACCACCGAGCACCAAAAAGAGATTGCGTTTCTCTACGGATCTTCATGGCATAAGCATGTGCAATATGGATTAATATGGAAATTACCAACAAAGTATATGACTATATATGGAAATCAAACAGATATGATATGTTGTTTTTTGGTACTGTTTTATGATATTAACATATATTAACTATATAGATGTGTGTATAACATAATGATTCGTTGGTCCTTGTAATGTGTAATTAGTTATTCACTTATTCATCAAAGATGGTAGGGATGGGATGGCTGAATGATGGGTACAATGGGGACATTAGCCACCAGAAATAGGTGTACAACCAACCGAATATATTTGAAACTCAATGAAGAACATGGAAATATTGAAGGGATACATATATATATATATATATATAGTTATTCACAATGGGGGTTAACCATTGTAAGGTTCGGAGTTTAATGCCAATGACTGTGTTTGGGGACATCTTGTGACCCATCCCAAAGTGTTGCTTATCAACGTATATAAGCGCTATATATACCTCATTTTAGCCCATTATATAAATCCAGTGATATTCCATTTAGCACAGAGACTACCCTGTCAGGTGGTGCCCCAGCCATGTGTGTTGCTTTAGTTCCCTATTAACCAGATCGAAGCATTTGCCATAAACCCACATGATACATCATTCTAGTTACCCTGTGGTAAACTAACATAGCTATGGAAAATCACCATTTTTCATGGGAAAACTCACTATAAATGGCCATTTTCAATAGCAATGTTAGTTTACCAGAGGGTATAAACCAACTTGGCTAACAAAAAAACCCAGTGAATCCCCTGAAATCCCCATGATCCCTGGCATCCCCACGTCGTTTTCGCAGGTTCCTTTGACGCTCCGGGGTCAACCTGCTGGGGAGCTGTCGCTACAATTCCAGATCCAAGCACCTCAGGAGCCCGGGAGGATTTGTTTCACCAAAATATGGAGCCGGTTTTTGCTTCTCCCCTATCACTGGAGGTTTAGTTCGCCTTTAGTTCGCCTTTAGTTCGCTGGGAAACTCAATCGAACTAGATGGTGGATTTTCCAGCAAGCCATGTTTGATCAGTGGAGGGTATACATCAATGTACCTGATACTTGGGGAATTCAGGAGCAGGTAAGAAGTAAACCAACTGCTGAATTTTATAATCATGTTTGACTTATTTCATTAATCATGTGGGATTAATTACCCTATGCCATATATATATATATATATACCCCAGCGCTTCCAAAGGATAGGTTTACTGAGTCCGTTATCACCAAGGGCAGGTTTGACTAAACGGCTACAATTTACCCATGTTGCAGGAAATTATGGAAAACATCCAGGACCATATTTCACGGGCTTTTCACTCACTTTTCACGGCCTTTTCACATTTATCATAATAAGGTGTAATTTCATCAAAGTTGACCAGCTTCACAATGGCTAGGTTAAACCTAGGCCTTTTGCATGCGTTCGTTTTGGTGTCCGTTGAAGTTCTGGGTACTGTAAAAATGGGGAGATCAGCCAATGGGAGTGCTTATTAGTTTATTACTTACTTGTAGCTAATTTGTTGTACAGGTTCATCAGAGTATATAGAGAGTTAGGGGAAACCAACTATAGATGGGTACTTTCGTGATGTTTAGCACTTTTGTCTCTTGCCATAAATGTGGATGTGTATGGGTGGATACGTTATGATTCCAAAAAATATATTTTGCAAGTAGACGAAGGCGACAACTGACTATGTTCTGTCTCTTACACACTGTTCTTGCAGTTGAAACCAACCACGGCAAACAATAGACTTGAAATACCTGTTTGGGCTCTAAGCTATCTCTTCTGCCCCCCCCCATCAATACCCAGTGCCCCCTCATCCAGCGTGCAGCAGTGCAGCAAGTGCTCAGTTATGTAAGGTCGGTCTCTTGCTTATGCATGTTCATTCAACTGCTAGGTCCTAGAGCATCGCTAGAACATCCAGCATTGGGTTGTGATTGGTTCAATTGGAAGAGCTGCGGAACAACTGGTCATCGGCCAATTATTTACTTAGAATTCATTAGACATAATATTATGATATATTATGATCTAATTAGTAATTTAGCAGTGGTTTGTATATCCATTCCAGTGATGGTGGGATGACCCTGCCGGCGGTTTCCAGATGATCATCTCAAGTCCCCAGGAAGCGTTGCACATCATGGCGCACAGCTCTCATGGCAGCCTGGCGGCGGCTGCCAAGGCCTTTGCACAGACCTTGAGGCCAGGGCCAGAGTTTGTTGGGTCATGCAGGCCGAAGGCCACCCTGGCGGCGAAATGAGATGAAATGAGCACTGGCCAAAACCCCTGGATGGAGATTCTATGGGATTATACCCTCTGGTAAACTAACATAGCTATTGAAAATTGCCATTTATAGTGAGTTTTCCCATTAAAAATGGTGATTTTCCATAGCTATGTTATGTTAGTTTACCAGAGGGTACTACCCAAATCCATTATGGATTATCGATTAAGGGAAATCCGATTGACCAAACAGAAAAAAGAGGGACCCCTCGAACTAATTGTTGGGTGATACCCTACTGGGACATTTCACTACCCCAGTTGGGGGAAGTACCATATTTTAACTGATTTTCATGGCCATCAGGCTGGTCACCCTTCAGATTTTCAAAAATCCATCCCAAAAAACCTGGGGATTTGGCCATTTTCGGCAAATCTTTCAAAAACAAAACATTCAAAATCCTATGGGTGTGGGTATGTTTTGGCCCATTTAGGCTATTTTTAGGACTAACCGTTTGATGTATCAGATCACCCTGATGAACCCGAAGCAGCTTCACCACCTTTCTGGTAAATTGTGCTGGGTATGTAAATGTTTTTTGTTCAGGTTTAAGCAGTCCTTTTCAAGGGGCATGTTGATTCAAATGTTTGATCTCCTTGTCGCTTACATTACATGCGTTTTGAGCAGGGCATTGCCATCGCACATTTTATATAATGTTTTGATCTTCACACTTGGAATGAAGGTATTTGTGTTCTTTGATGTTCGCTAGCTATTCCATCACTCCAGTGCATGTAGACTCCGTCATAAACCATTTTTGGGCAACTCTCAAAAAGTTTGCAGAACAACAATTTATATACCACAATTTTGATATCGGAGTTTTAAGATTCTTCGGTCGAAGGTTTTCTATATATGTAGACTCCGGTTAGTAATCAAACGTAGCAAGAGACAATTCCCCATGTATAGATGATGTTCCCATTAAAACCTTGATTTATAGGGATTTTCCAATGATTTTCCCATGCTTTTGACCATTAAAACCGCCCCCGTGGCAGGCAACAGGGCGCCCTGGATCAACTGCTGGCCTCGCGGCCGCAGGTGATGTGGGACATGCCACAGGAACGTTTGGCCGCAGCGACTTGGACGGGAGATGGGAGAACTGCAGAAACACGACGGTTTTTTTTTCGAAATGGAGATGGTTAATAGTGGTTAATAGTGGTTAATAGTGGTTAATAGTGGTTAATAGGCTATAAACCAACAACAATGGGAATATGATGATGATCTGGTTGGTGGTTTGGAACCACGGAATTTTATGACTTTCCATATCTTGGGAATCATCATCCCAACTGACGAAGTCCATCATTTTTTCAGAGGGGTAGGGCTCAACCACCAACCAGTCATCGTACTACCATCCTGGAAGCATGTTTGTGGAGGCCAAGGGCAAGCCCTGATGCGCTCATAGGTCGGCACGATTTATTGTAGTTCCTCTGTGCTAGTAGCAGAAGTTGGTTGATACCTTTGTTTGTGAAATCTCCTGGCCGTATGATCTCCTGATGTTGTCTCAAAGTTGAGAAAAACCTCACCAAGTGTCCAAATGTGATTGGAAACCCAATACTACATCAAACTACCCATAACTACCCTGGACCATGCAGGAGCTCAACATAGATTTCCCAAATGATTTGGTTCCAATGATTTGGCTTTTTTTGCGGCCCTTTTTTTATCGAAAGCGTGGGAGGCTTTAAATTCAATGGTCCAGATTCTCCAGTGAATCCTTATAATTAAATTTGATTGCAATAAGCTCCCCAACATCTCCAAAACATGTGTGAGGCCCGGCCTATTGTATATAGGAAAACGTCAAGCGTCATTGTCACATTGTTCCACCCCCAAATCTAGGGGTTTCCTGCAGACTTCCCCAACCAATGCTGGGAACATCATGAATCACTCCAAATTCCCATAGAATGTCCCATGAATATAATGAATTTCCAATAGAATTCCCATCTTGAATGGGTCCAGGGAGAATGTTCCAAGATGCTGCAGTCTCCTGAAGAACAATTCCCATCTAAGATCCACAACCTGCTGGGCAGCTGGCTGTCAAAGTTCTGCCAGCAGAGCCTGCGCATGACGGGGGACGAGACGGACACCACGGCCATTGATGCTTTGTGGCAGCTGGCGCGCTCGGCGCAGGACGCTTGGGAACTGGTGATGTCACGGGGGGTTTTAGCAACAAACATTGGTGATCTACTGGTGATATAGTAACACTATAGACATCTATAGACTATAGATGTGATTTTCTTCTGCTGGGGCTGTTTTACGTCCCAAGTAGGAATCTATGAGCAGTGGGGATTCATGGATATGAATGGTATACAAAAATGGTATACCATGGGAATCAATGGTTACTTGGAGGTGCTGGATGGTGCTGGTACCATTGGGGGGAATCTCTGGATTAAAACCTCAGGTCCTGGAGCCCTGGAAGAGCCACGAAAAGTTGCGCAACTTGTACTAGCCCCAAATGAACTGACACAAGTGACGATAGATATTCGTGAATTTGCGATAAACTGTGACAAGATTACAGTATATTGTGAGATTACAGTTTCAATCGGCTTTGTGTCTCATAGCAATTATGTAGCTCGGATGACTCACAGTCTGAGTATGAGCCAATTTGTTTGTGGGATTTGCTGGCATTTTAGCACACCCTTTGCGACAACGAGTTGCGAGCGGAAAGTAAGTAAGTAATTATTCACTTGTTCTGACCATATTTGAACCATGGTGGGAAGCGCCCAGCAGAACCAAAAAAAAACGCCCAATGGACCCCAGGGGACAAAACACGACAGAACACGGCGCAATGTACCGTAAAAAACCTTTGTAAACCATTGTGCGCCTTCAAAGACTAAACGGGCAAAACTGCTCCTCCGACAGGAAATCATAGTTTGCTGCACCGAACTTGCGGAGGATGAGGACATCCCAGGCCAGGGAAATCAATGCAAAGAATGGTAAAGTGGAGTATGTTTGAAGGTAGTAGCTTTGAACGAAATTATGCCAAGATATGCCAAGATAATATTCATATTCACAAATTCTCAGGGCTTTTATCAATTGTGTTTCATGGCGAGTCCCAACACATCACAGCACCAAGCTTGCCCGAAAGGGCGCTACACTGAAGTTTCTCACAGCTGTGGCAGGTATTGTGGTGCAATGGCTGAGAAACTACTTCTCTAGATGCACCCATGAGGATGCTGAACTCAATGAGACACGCTTGCGGGCACTTCTTGCAATGCATCAAGATCCATCTGCTGGCAAACGTCAGATCGATCCCTGGGCCCGCTTGCAAGAGTATGGCGCCTGGATCGAACTTTGCCAGATGTGCATGTTTGTTGTCACCCTTTCACACTCTTAATCAGGTTGTCTAGCAGGGTGTGATACAGTAATTGTACAAAATTGTTCCTGTACTATCCCCTTCCTTTGTCAATGCACATCTCTCATTATAAGTAATGGAGTTTTTGATATAGGGGTCCCATGTAGGAGGGTTGTTCATAGCCGGACGGGCTTACATAATCCAATATAGCTGGTCATAACTCATAACTACTTCTAAATACAGGTGATCCTCCTATGATATTTGTCCAGCCCGCCTTCAGAGTCATTGGAAATTTCACCTCCGAATATTCATGGACATGTTGAGATCCGGGCAATTTTGACATATTATATTATATGTGATATTGACCTTATATATATATATGTTTATAATTATATACATATACAATTATATATATAATATATAATATGCATATAATTATACACATATATAATTATATAATATATATATATATAGTTTGTTTATGCAATTAAATCATATAGATTATTTTAAAAAAATGTATGCACAATGTACGGAAAAAAGTTTCCATGTTGCCATTGTATGGCCATATATTATGTCAATACATGTCAATACAATGGTTGGGGGTAGTGACAAATGCATACAGTATGGACCAAGGAAAATGCAGAAAGATGCAATTTACCAGTACCACTATGTGTTTGAATCGGAAATTGAACCGGCAATTACTTTCTGCATTTGTTTGGGGTTGCCATTATCCATATTTTGAGATAGTATTACCCATATGCACATAATTGTGCATTCCTTGGAACCCAAATGACCTCTATTCTTGTCGTCAACACCTTCTTTTATATTTTATACATACATTATATCGTCATATCATCATATATCTCCATATACCTCCATAGCTACATCCAGCTTCCCATGTTTCCCCAGGTGCTCGCCTTCCCGAGAGCTCCCCGAGGGACCTGGCCTTCGCCTTGGCGTCACGGCTGGAGGAAGCGGCACGGGGCAATGAGGCCGAGGTCTTCACTTGCGAGGCGGCGGTTTTCAGGATGACCATTTTGGGGAAGCATTCAATGGTGGATTTCACATGATCTAACCAGTAGGAATATTGTTTATACATTTTTTACATGTTTATACATGTTTATACATGTTTGTACATGTTGATACCACTGATGGTGATAACATGTGATAACTGGGGGATGGTTTATTGCTGTTTTACTTACGTTAGGAAGAAAACATGGAAGAAACATGTTAGGTACATAATTTCCCCTAATGGGGATTCAAGCTAATTTAGGAATAGGAAGAAACATGCAAGAAACCCGTGGGGATTCGAAACCACTACATTTTGAGTATCTTGGGGGCATTGTCCCAAAGTAACCGGTAATTATCTCAGGTTGGTTAAGGATTACATTGCTGTTGCATCATTTTACTATCCAGAATCATGATGGATTTGAGGGGTAAATCGTGGGATTGTGTGGTAAAATCTGTGATTTTCATAGGGATGATAGGTCGGTCGTTTTTTTCATGTTTTATCGACATCCTATCAATGGGGGGAAACGAGATTTAAAGTGTGTTAACACTGGGATGGAACAATGAGGGTTCCCAATTTTGAGACTGGTATGCTCAAGTGATTCTTTCAACTCCAAGATAGAAAGTTTGAAATCTTGAGCTTCTCCACAATAAATAATTTAAAAACATTATGCGGGGTACATACTGTTTTTTCCTGGTGCACCGAAGCGTACATATTGTTTGTGGGTGATTCAACAAACAAAGTGTGGATACAAGATGATACAAGCATGCTGTTTCTTGCTGGCGTTTCATTTGTCAGCGTTCCTATTCTGAATGATTACCGCATTCCAACCGTTTCTGGCGGTATATAGTGGCTTACCTAAATATGTATATCAAACCTTTCCTGCCACCCTGCAGGACATCGTTCAGAATGGACGTTTGACACCTGGTATGGCTGCGGTGGTGCGCAGGGACCCTGATTCGACGGGCCTGCATGTGTTTATTTACGAGCACAAATCCATTGTCGACTGGCAGGCAGCTCGTTGACTCCAAAACCATCAAACCATCAAACCACATTAACAATATTTCATTGAATTATCCATTGAAATTGGGACACTGCATGGCACTTCTCTTTTGTATTTTTGTGTTGAGGGGGCTGCCAGAAACCTTCAGAAAATCAAGCTACCTCGCTACATTACCCGCTTGAGAACATTTGACTCATATTCATGAAAGGGCAACAAGATTCCTTTTCAGCCGGAGGCCCAGTGCTCCAATGATCCTTGCACGCGCTGCCCACTGAGTGCGCAAGACATCCTGCGGATCAGCTGAGGGCGGGTCGAAGCAGCGCTGTGAGTTTGAATCGGGAGCGAGCAGCAGCCCCTGGTCATTGGGGGAGCTGTGGGAGCTTTTGCAAAAAAAAAGCCAAGGTATACAATACAGTTCTTTAAGCTTTGATCGTAGTTTCAGGTAGCTAAGGGACCCAGGTACCTTCAAAATGGCTGAGGGATGCTGCTCACTGATTTCCGAAGGGCATTTGGAAGATTGGGGATTGATTGTCCAATCACCATTATGAACAGTTTTGCAGTTGGAAGCATCAGTGGGCCTTTTCCCTGTATTTTTTGGACCAACCCATTTCTTCCAGAAATTCAAGTTTGCACATCAGCATTAATTTGCTGTTAGCACTGCATTTGTGGTACAGCTTGCAGTGGCCTGTAGGTTCAATGTCCAGGTGCGAAGGATCACAGTGAGCTACAGTGGTTCCTTTTGCCACCTAGGACCCTAGGATACCCTGGGCAAAGAGTGGACAAAATGTGCTCCAAGCTTGTCATTTGATGTCATTTGATGTCATTTGCCTATTGCCCTTCCTCTTGCCGGGTTCAGCCCCCCAAACAAAAACTCTTTTCAGACGTTGGATTCATGAAGTCCTGGTTGGTTCTGATTTCAGGTATTTTCAGGTTAGTGAATTATGATGAATTATTATAGTTCAGCCAAAAAATGAATCAGCCCTCCTTGCACATCAGCACAATCTCGTCAGCCCTAGTTGGGACGGCCACTACCGGTGTTTTCCCGCCATCTACATCGGAAAAAACGACTTATTGTTGCCATGACCTGTTTCGCAATAGGTTTCATGATTTTCTGATATGACAAAAAGATACCAAAAAAAACGTATCAAAAAGCATGAAACAGTGAAAATACAGACCTTCTGGCTACTGTAGCTGGGAATTTCCTGACCAAAGTGGGGGTTTAGTTCGCTGGGAAAATCATTGAACTATTGCTGGCGGATTTTTCAGCAAGCCGTGGAGTTGATTACCGGAAGGTATATCATGGTATATCCCATTACTATCCCATTACCCTCTGGTAAATTAACATGGACCCCTGCACAATCACCCAATCTTGGGTGGAAACGAATCTTCCAAGCCCTTTTTTTTTGCAGGGTCGATGTTAATTGACTAGATGCTATATCCTAATTATATCCCCATGAAATCCCCATGAAATGATGGCGGCTTCTCCATTGGACATCTCAAACATCGGCAGCAGAATTGCCGCCAGGCTCGTTCGAGGCTAGCAGCCGAGCAACTTGAGGTGTGTTCCGGGGGAGGTGTAGATTTTACCTAGGGAAAGCACGGATAAGTAAACGTAAAAGAGATTACGTGACTAAGATATGTTTCCTTGTGGATTTAAATTTGGATTTTGCATGCAAATATGGGCTTTGGTCTCTGTATTATTATGGAACAATTGGTGGTGATATGGGTCCCAGGGTCAAATTCGAAGACCGGGGAGGCTACACAAGTTAATTTTTTTGTGTCGGAAAATCTGGGGGCAGCCATCCCATATTAAACTTTCTTTTGTGGGGGGAGCGTTACCCACAAGAGAGCAAATTTATGCAAATTTAGTATTAGGCCAAAATAAAATGATGGATTTCAACCAGTGATCAAGAGAGGAAGGTTTATTCACATGAGTTTTTGCCCGATTCAGCCCTGAAAAGCAATTTCCAATGTAGCAAATGCCTATGTACCAATCTGAAACACTTACAGTAAAGCTTAAAGAGAGACATCATGGAATCCAAAAGAGTGGGATGGAAGATGTTGTTAAGAAATGGCCACGCTGCTGTTTAAAATTGAAAGCGGGTCAATCTCTTTGGGTGCTGAGCTGCAATGGGCATATGATCTGAACATGTCTGAACCTGGAAATTGGATTGCATTCTGCTTTGCCGATTGCAGAGATGCTCCCTTAAATCTATCCAGAGAATTCCAGAGATCTATTCACTTCTATCTACCTCACCGATAGCTACAATACCCATGGTACATGTGTCGCAATGTCAATGTGTGAACATGGCCCATCATGGCCCCTATTTACACAGGTAGTGCCAGGGCCGCTGGTTTATGATATGACCGACCTCCCAGGGCGAATTTTTTTTTATGGCAAAGCCGTATCAATTGGTCCAAGGATGGTATTATATAACTGTGTAACCGTGTAACCCAATCCATTGGGTTTGTTAAATTGTATATTATCAGATTCCCCATGAAGCTTGCCTTTCTGGGTATATGGTATATTGTATTTTCAGACACGCTCTCATATGGACTAAGCATCCACTTTTGCTCCATCAGTTTTTCCCATCCATTCGTAGTCATTCCTTCATGCGAACATTATAATAGTACAAATTTATACAAATTGTAGCTGGTATAACCACCCAGTAGACTGGTAAACCTTCCAATACCTCCAGTTCATAAACATGAAAAACATGTTGTTGGTTAATCTCAAACGTGTATATATATATATACATATTTACATATACACAGGGTATCCATATGATTATGTGTATAATATTACACTCGATATACAAATGTGTATCTATAATATATGTGTGTGTGTGTAACATCTAAATAGATGTAAAACTTCTTTCTTTTTCTTCCTTCTGTCCTCTCCCTTTTTAAATCTAGTGAAAGGGTTTTAAATCTAGTGCCGGGGGATGAGGGTTCCCTTGGTGTGCCTCATCTAACAAAGACCGCACCAAGTGGACGTGATATCAGTGCCCGGCCAGCACTGACGTACCTGCACTCGTATATATAATTTTTTACGCTGTTGGTTTATATGTCAATGACTCCTGTGATTTTTTACTGACGTGCTCCTTATACTCTTACTGCTGTTGGTTTATATGTCAATGACTCCTGTGATTTATATGGACGTGGCAAGGGGCTAAGCCAAGAACCCCAATAAACAAACAATCTAATAAATTTGTTTCCTGTCGTTTTGCATGTTTCAGGATTCAGTTCCTGCCGGATCATATAATGACCCATTCTTGTCTAGTGTGATTCCTATGGTGACTCCGACATGGTGCCATAGGGCCAATTGAGGCAACCCCAGCTGGGGTCAATGTCGACTGACTGGAATTCCGAATTCACACATTTTAATTTAGTAATTCGTTTAAGTATGTTTAAGTAAAGTGCAACAGCTGGCCTTGCGGTTATGCACCATTTTACGATGTCCCGCCGATCCTGCTGTCCCTTGAAAACCCTGGTGAAAAGTTGTCTTCTCTGAGTGAAGCCAATCGGAACAACCAGAAACTCCTTTTTTGTCACTGCTGCTTTTATACTTTTATTGCTGTTGGTTTATATGTCAAAGATTCCTGTGATTTATACTGACGTGGCAAGGGGCTAAGCCAAGAACTCCAACCGAAGGCAACAGGCACATGCATTCCAGGTGTGGTTTTTTCTCTTTTGATGTTTGTCTGGTGAGGTTAAACATTTTGTGCACCTAATTCGTTGGAACTTGAAAGCCGTTTTATGCCCTTGTGGCTGACTTGAACACGGGCCTGGATTGGCACAACGCACGACTCCTAGGTTTTAGGAGCTGAATCCTATTGTTTTACGGTTTGCCTGTCTGTCATCAACTAGTCCCCCATTTGGTCCCTAATTTCCCCGCATGCCTCTCCGTAATGTGTCGTGGGGTTTAGGTGTGTGCGCTGTTTTGGTTAGGTCCGTTTCGCCGTGTAGGTTGGTTCCGGAGGTCCGTCTGTTCCCCTCCCCCCCCTGCGCTGTTTTTGGCCGTTTGCCCTTCGTGTGTCCGCTTTTTTCTTCCTCTTGCCTTTCAGGGTTGACCCGGCTCTGGCCGGGTGTGTGTGTGTGTAACATCTAAATAGATGTAAAACTTCTTTCTTTTTCTTCCTTCTGTCCTCTCCCTTTTTAAATCTAGTGAAAGGGTTTTAAATCTAGTGCAGGGGGATGAGGGTTCCCTTGGTGTGCCTCATCTAACAAAGACCGCACCAAGTGGACGTGATATCAGTGCCCGGCCAGCACTGACGTACCTGCACTCGTATATATATATATATATGTTTTTACGCTGTTGGTTTATATGTCAATGACTCCTGTGATTTTTTACTGACGTGCTCCTTATACTCTTACTGCTGTTGGTTTATATGTCAATGACTCCTGTCATTTATATGGACGTGGCAAGGGGCTAAGCCCCCCAATAAACAAACAATCTAATAAATTTGTTTCCTGTCTTTTTGCATGTTTCAGGATTCAGTTCCTGCCGGATCATATAATGATCCATTCTTGTCTAGTGTGTGTATTTGATTGTGCGTATACTACATCATATTATGTATATACATGTACGTATATATATATATATATATATGTGTGTGTGTTTGTATGTGTATACATATATATATATATGTGTATGTATATATGTAATATATGTATGTATGTAATGTAATGTAATGTAATGCAATGTAATGTAATGTAATGTAATGCAATGTAATGTATGTAATGTAATGTATGTAATGTATGTAATGTATGTAATGTAATGTATGTAATGTATGTAATGTATGTAATGTAATGTATGTAATGTATGTAATGTATGTAATGTATGTAATGTATGTATGTATGTATGTATGTAATGTATGTATGTAATGTATGTATGTATGTATGTATGTATGTATGTATGTAGTTAGTTATGTATGTAAGTATGTAAGTATGTATAGGTATGTATGTATGTATGTATGTATGTATGTATGTATGTATATGTATGTAGTATGTATGTATGTATGTATGTATGTATGTATGTATGTATGGTATGTATGTATGTATGTATGTATGTATGTATGTATGTATGTATGTAATGTATGTTATGTATGTTATGTATGTATGTATGTATGTATGTATGTATGTATGTATGTATGTATGTATGTATGTATGTGTGTGTAAATGTACGTGTGACACAGATCCCAGAAAAGGCTCAATCTCCCCCAAGCTTTCGCCAGGTGCTGTCGCAACGCGAGGCCGCCAGCGCCACTGCGTTGGACGAAGCGAATGCGCAGCTGAAGAAGGCACGGCAGTGGCGCGGCAGTGGAGATGGATTAAGGTCAACTTGGGGGTGCATGTCAGGTCAGGGGTTGTTCATGGTTAATATGGGTTAATATGGGTTCATATGGGTTCATAATGGCCGTAACTATGGGATTTAAACTTACAAAAGTTGGGACATGCGGCCCCTATATACTGCTATGGTGAATATATATATATATATATATAGATATATGTATGCCACATATTAGTGGAACTGCACCGCCAAGAATGAAACAGGTTGAAAGGTCCACTTGATTGCACAAGGTAGTGTTCCCTACAAGTAGCTGTAAGTTGGTTTATACCTCCATCTGGCTAGAGTTATATCCCCCATTAACTTGCCAGTAAGTAACTTTAAGTAACCCTAGTTATTGTGTTGAACTAAAGTGACCTAGCAGGTATTTTAACATATTTCGACATTTGTATACATGTGGTATATAACTACTGTTCATAGTTTCTTGAGGTGTTTCCTCAGATCTCATACAGTCCCATAGCAGATTAACCTGGCAGTTTCACCGCTGGGTTGCTGATGATCGTACTTCCTTTTTGGTTGTGACATGCGTAGTGCTTGTCCAAAACGCGCGAGGGGTTGCATCCTTAAACAACAGTACTCCTCAATAGCGATGGTTATTTGAAGGAACATCTACGGGCCGAATCCACGTTCGCATCCAGACAAGTTTCCCAGTGGTGCGACTGCCAACAATGCTCGGAAAGTTTCAAACACACCCAATTTTTATCTGGCGAGAATCAGGCCAACGATGAATACGATGCGCTGGAAGCACAGCCCAGCTCTGAGCCATTTACACAAAACCCACAGCACTGCTTGGATCAAAATTTCAGGCCACAAATTCCGTTATGCTTCGGATTCATCATCCCGTTTTTGGGAGGTATTATAGAATATCATGGAATGGAATATATCATATCCCTTACAGGTACATTATGATTATTACGGAATATAATATATTATGGAATATAGTGACTATATATATATATATTATGGAATATAAAGTATATATATATATATTTATTTCCCATTGTTTGGGGTTCCAACATTGGCCCACAAGCACATAATGGACCAACGGTCCGGTGTGGCTTTTGGGGTTCCCCGTCTGACCCGTCTCCTGAGGCTTCGGAAAGGTGACAAGACGCTGGACAATTCATCGCGGGGTTGTTGGTTCCACACATGTTGCCAGGGGATTTCTTGGGATGCTATTTGTTCATATTTGTTCTATTTGCCAAACAGCATTCCTTGGAATTTGTGATATATTACATGTATGATATGTATTTTTTTGACGCACACTGAAGCTGCGGACGCTGCAGCCACTGCTTTGTACTGATTCAATGCTATCTACCTGTGAAACCGGTTTCCGCGGGGATGTGTTGGCTGGGGGCAAGCTGGGGCTGGAACCAATCTTGGCTGCTGCCAGGATTGCCCGCATGGGTCAGCAATCATGGTTACTAACCCATTGATAATATATATATATATATGTATATATAATGTAATTGTATTTATATACATATATGCAGATATCTATCCTATCCTATCCTATCCCTATCCCTATCCCTATCCCATCCCATCCTATCCTATCCTATCTATATGTCTATTTGCTATATGGTTGGTGATATCACCCACGTTGTGGTGATTGACGGTAAGAGATGCACATTTTGCCGGAACTCCATGTGCTGGTGAAATGCGCATCTCCAGGTTCAGGCTTGGCAAACTTAGCTGTATTATTATGCCGATGATTTTACAAGAGTCCCAGAATTGCTTTGGACGATTTTGGCTGAACCACTGAACCCCCCAATATTTGGCTGGTGAATAACAGTGATTTCTGGGTCACATTTTCCCAACAAGATCAAGCCGAGGAAAGTGCAAACGCTGCTGGGTGAGATTGAGAAGTTGTCCTCTCCCATGCGCAATGCCGGTGCCAGTGGTGCCACAGTCATAGCCTTGGACTTGGGAGGGATGCTCATGAATAGTGTTTTTTTGAATTTAGGGGGGTTAATATGATGTGATACGATTTAATAGCAATTTCAATCAATTTCATATGATTTAATATGGGGAGTTTATAATAATTTACACTGCGATAATCGTTTACACCACTATGGAAAGTAATCATTCTATTAAGAGGTAACCCGTCTATAAATGGACCATTTTCCACAGCTACTGGTATGTCAAATTACCGGAGGGTAGATATCACATTGAGATAATTTCCCATCTAGGTATATCATATGTGTGTTGCGCTTGATTCGCAGGCGCTCATATTCATCCTCTAATTCGGAACCATCATTCTTACTGTCCACCCCGGAGTATACAATAAAACCAAATAAAGCTTGGTTGATTGGGAGGCACTCCTCGATGGATGATTATATACATAGACACTATATCTATCCCATTGATAGATGATTCTATTTCCCATTTATAGATGATTATCCCATTGTATAGATGATTATAGAATCATATAGAATCATTTTAATTGATGAATATCCCATTTATACCCCATGTGTTCTCATATTTTCCCATTGGCCAAGGTGGTGCACCAGGGCTCGCAGGGCGGTCAGCCGGGTCAGCCGGGTCTGCGGCTTCCCATTGACCATCCCGTGGCGACCCGCCGGGGGGCCTTGGGGGCCTTGGGGGCCTTGAGTAAATCAGCTGATTTTATCGATGTTTATAGAATTTTATAAGAATGGGGGGCTAATTCTTGAGCAAAATCTTCACGCTAAAACCTTGCGAACATAGTATGCAGTGAGTTTTTGTCGAGCCATCAAATCCTAAAGCGCTCAGTAGCCAATATATTTATATATGACATGTTCACCCCGATCAGAGTGGTCGTTGGCATGAATCATTTGGTGATAATGAACAGTGTGAACAGTAATATATTTCATTCACAGCAAAACCATTTGGGACAGTTCAATCATCAATTCTGCTCCACTGGGGCATTGACCAGTTGTGTTGAGAACACGACATGGCTTTATGTGATGCCCAGAGTAGGAGCTTGTAACCAAAGGGAATATCATGGATATTCACAGGCGCGTGCCCATTTCATTCTTCTGTTTCCTGCCAGTAGTGGGGTTTGAAAGTGATGAACCTGGCAATGTCGTCTATTTCGCGATATGGAACCCCACACATGGATAAGACGACGTTGTATAAAAAGACATTCGACTTAGGTGCTGCTGAGGTGAGCAGATGAGGAAAATGGCCCCAGCCCACAAGTGGATTGGGCATTCCCCAGTGGGGCTTCAGGAGGTCAAGAGATCATGGGAAATTGAATGGGAACTCAGGTTTTTCATTTGTGAAAAAACGAACTTCGTTTATTGTTTGGCTTGTGACAGCTTGTGTTTTCGCGTTCTCCTCTTCAGGAGAATGTAATGATACATGATGCCCTTCTTGAAAAAAGCACACCTTTCGTTTCGAGTCAAGTTAAAGGTTCGGCTATTCAAAAGCCCGAAATTTGCTATACTCCTCGCGGCAACTGGCCACTAAAACACGTCGGTGTGTATTCTGAATGGTGGCTAATGTCCTGGTGCTTGTCCAGTGGCCCTCGCGGACTCTAGCATTGAATTTCCTAGCATATTATTTGATAATGATTCAACCCCTGGTATAGTAACAACAACCAAGTTGCTTACCCTCTGGTAATTTAACATAACTATGGAAAATCACCATTTAATCCATTGATAGTGAATTGTCCCATGAAAAATGGTGATTTTCCATAATTATGTCAATTTACCAGAGGGTATACCAACCAGTGTTTTTCATGTACAATTGCAAACGTCAATTACGATCCCACCATTCCCACGATCTCTTGGGGCGGCTCTGGGGGCGACAGCAGCCAAAAAATTGGAAGTTGAGGGTTGCACATCAAGTTGTCATTGTTAAAGATTGTTGAAGATGCAAATAATTGCCACACGCATATCTATCTATCTATCTATCTATCTATCTCTCTCTCTCTCTATCTATCTATCTATCTATCTATCTATCTATCTATCTATCTCTCTCTCTCTCTCTATCTATCTATCTATCTACCTATCTATCTATCTATCTCTCTCTCTCTATCTACCTCTCTATCTTATCTATCTCTCTATCTTATCTATCTCTCTATCTTATCTATCTCTCTATCTTGTCTATCTCTCTATCTTGTCTATCTCTCTATCTTGTCTATCTCTCTATCTTGTCTATCTTTCTATCTTTTATATCTCTATATCTTATCTATCTCTCTATCTTATCTATCTCTCTATCCTGTCTATCTCTCTATCTTATCTAGCTCTCTATCTTATCTATCTCTCTATCTTATCTATTTCCCTATCTTATCTATCTCTCTATCTTATCTATCTCTATCTTATCTATCCCTCTATCTTATCTATCTCTCTATCTTATCTATCTCTCTATCTTATCTATCTCTCTATCTTATCTATCTCTGTATCTTATCTATCTCTCTATCTAATCTAATCTAATCTAATCTAATCTAATCTAATCTATCCTAATCTAATCTGATCTAATCTAATCTGATCTAATCTGATCTAATCTATCTAATCTATCTAATCTATCTAATCTATCTAATCTATCTAATCTATCTAATCTATCTAATCTATCTAGTCTATCTAATCTATCTAATCTATCTAATCTATCTAATCTATCTAATCTATCTAATCTATCTAGTCTATCTAATCTATCTAATCTATCTAATCTATCTAATCTATCTAATCTATCTAATCTATCTAATCTATCTATCTATCTATCTGGCTGTCTGTCTATCTGTCTATCTATCTATCTATATCTATCTATCTATCTATTTGTCTGTCTGTCTGTCTATCTATCTATCTCTCTATCTATCTATCTATCTATTTGTGCGTCACGTACTGCCCACAAGAAGTACGCAAGTGCTTTGTGGTTTCTGTTGCCGTTTTCGGGCTTTGGCTTCAGCTGATTCAACTGCAATTCACAGGGCAGAGGATGATTAATGGGAAACAATTGGAATGAAGATGATATGTTTGCTTCAACGTGCTCTTATTTGATCTTATGGCGCGTGGCTGAAAAATGTTATCTTTTGTAGCTTTATTAGATTTACAGTATCAGATTCCGTGCCTGTTTGGTCAACAGGAACGTAAGACGTAAGATGCTAGTGCTGCTGGTGGCATACCATGGGATACCTGCTTGCAATCAATCTGCTTTGTTAAGATGTCAACTCAGCCTATTGCAAAAACCGCATTGTGCAAAAACGTTGTTGGCATGTTTCCAGACGCTTTTCAGCCTGCAATTGGCACGCTCCCTAGTCCTTGCACTGAAGGGACGGCTAGGGTTCTTGCAAAATTCCCTGAAAACACCAGTGGAACCCCAAAATGTAGGTCACACATCATTGTGATAACATGTTTTTGCATGTTTTGCAGCACAGATAGCGACATTGGGTGACATACGTTCATGCATTGGACAGGGATAGAATGAAATAGGTTTTGCAGTTATGCATGTCATACATGTGCAAATGCATATGCATACATATTTGTGTTTGTGCTCATACATACACTCAATTCATACATACACATTCCGGTGCCCATAGAAACACATGTATGTGTATATATATATATATGTGTGTGTGTGTGGGAGATATGCGGTATGTGTTTCATGTTTAAGAACAGAACTATACATATTACATCATCTTACATCATTTTACCAGATATTACCAGATTACCTGTTACATTTGTTATATAGAGAGATACACAGCATTTTACACCACTGGCGCCCGCGGCCAGAGGCGATGCTCAATCGACTTCACCAAGTTGTGGAAGTGGAGAGCGACCTGAGCGTCCCAGGCCAGGCTGTCTCTGAGATTCTGAGGTTTTTTCGATGGTTTACATACTATGTTTATATATGTTTATACCCCAAAAGAAGAGACATGACATGGTTTATCGATGTTTATCATGGTTTATCCAAACTGGGCACCCCTAAATTTCATAAGTTCATAATTTTGCGAGATTATCAACATATATCAACATTACATTACATATTCCCTATTAAAGTAGCGGGGCGCAACCTATTTTCAAACACCCATGTGGCAATGGAAAATCCCCAAATGTTATCAAATGTTCAATGCTCACGATTTTGTTTCTAGAGGAAAATCATGAAAAATCCGAGTTGGGAAAAGGGGGAGGGCACCCTTTGATCGACCTCAGGCCCGCTGGGTGCTGTCCCTTGGATGCAGAAAAATTGAAGAGATTGCAATGGCAGAGGTCCACCAGAATCGCGGTCTTTGACGCCCACAAGGTGGTGCCCCATAGTTAGCTAAGTTGGTTTATAACTCCCATAACTATGGTTTATATGGTAGATATAACTATAGTTAATGGGGTTTATAAACCAACTCATAACTGGGGGGCACCATCCTGCATGACTCATTTAACATATCATCTCAGATGGGCGTGGAATGCTTCAAAACTCTCCAGAGGGAATGAATAGAATTAGATCTTAAATTGGAAGCCGCAAGTCCACGGCCATTTCCATTCCGACCTAGGACTTCGCCTCATCAGCTCGCTCCATCGAACGCCGGGAGCCATGATGCCAAAGAAAAGGCGAAAGATCCCAAAAATGGTGCTGTGAAGATCAAAGCCTGAATTAGTTTAAAATGTTTAAAGGAAACAATCTACGGGAAATCCGGAAAACCTTACATTTCGGGTAATAACTAGGGCTCCTGGTTGAGATTTAATACCTGATATGGCAGAGGTGCATAAGTCCAACTGTTGAGCGAAGCCAAAGGAATTGAACAATTTCAGCTTGGTCCGTGCCCACCAGAGCCGTTCGGTTTCGCAATTGATCCACTACCCACTGTCAGCGCCCTTGGCCAAGGCCTATGTTTGCGCGCAGAACGTGCTGGGCCTTCCGGTTGGGAAGAGGTGCAGAGAGACTCATCGTGGGATGTCGGATGTTCACCTGTCATTTCTTGAAAAATGTTTGGAGCTTTAGGTGTGACCTACAGCTCTACTTAAACCTTCAAGGATACACCTGGAACAAGGGTTAAAATTGTTTGACCATTGTACACATACTTTCTAACGGTCATGACAACTAGTGTCAACCTTGGCTAGTAAACCAGGGGTTTACGCGTCCTGAACTTTAAAAGCATTTAAAAGTTAAACCTGAGGGTGACAAACTGTTTATTCTCTCTGCGTCCCTGCGTTAGTTGAAAATTGCAGGTGCTGCCACAAATCTCCGAGCATGCATCTCGTTTTCCCACGGACGCGCAGGCAAGGAGCAGGGCCCTCTGACATGGACAAGCACTAAGCGACCAACAACCAACCATCAAGCAGCATCGACAATATGGGGCTGTCTGAAAACGGGTGGATACCCCAAAATTATCTCAAAATATCCCAAAAATGCATCAAAATGCAATATTTGAAAGAGGAAATGAGGTGCAAGCCGCCGAATGGAATGCGGTGTTCCCGAAATTTGCATTCAAACCGTTTGGGATCCCAGAATTTATCGGCTAGCAATCTACAGGAAAACCATTCATTTCATGGTCAATTTTTACTTTCCTGTAGGTTTTCTCCAAGATCAATCCATAGAATCCGAAACTTGACGATGTTTTCCCCATTTGTTCCATACATGTTCCACCGATTTCCCCGGGATTTCCCAGCGATTTCCCCATGTGTTCCTCACAGGCCTGGATCTACCTGGCCCGTGCCAAGATGGCCCTGGGCGGCCGCCGGGAGGCGTACCGGGCATTGCAGGAGGCCACGCGCCCGCGCGGTCGGACCGACGTTTGGACGAAAGTTTGGATGGGTATTCTTGAGAACCACCAAGAAATATCACCCGGTTGGTGGTTTGGAACTGAGGTTTATTTTTCCATATTTTGGGAATAATCATCCCAACTGACTAATTTTTTCGGCGGGGTTGAAACCACCAACCAGTAACTTAATTAATGTTGTCGACTGATTAGTGTGCGGGCCCCCCCCCCTCAAACAATTTTAGTCTACTCAATAACTGACCATTTTTTTGCGCCCCCCCACCACCAACAATTTTTTTGAATTGATTTCAATGTACTTTCAATTGATTTCAATTTACTTTCAATTGATTTCAATTTACTTTTAATTAATTAATTGATTTCAATTTACTTTCAATTTACTTTCAATTGGTTTCAATTTACTTTCAATTTACTTTCAATTGATTTCAATTTACTTTCAATTGATTTCAATTTACTTTCAATTGATTTCAATTTACTTTTAATTGATTTCAATTTACTTGCAATTTACTTTCAATTGATTTCAATTTACTTTTGATTGATTTCAATTTACTTCCAATTTACTTTCAATTGCTTTCAATTGATTTCAATTTACTTTTAATTGCTTTCAATTTACTTTCAATTGATTTCAATTTACTTTCAATTGATTTCAATTTACTTTCAATTGATTTCAATTTACTTTCAATTGATTTTCAATTGATTTCAATTTACTTTTAATTGAATTCAATTTACGTTCAATTGACTTTCAATTGATTTCAATTTACTTTCAAGGGTTTTGTTTTTTTTTTCGACCCCAAAAGTTGCTTGGCACAATAGAGTACCATCCAAACATTCATATTATTGAGTAACTGAGCCACTCATGAGGTACCCCCTTGAAAAATTGTCTGGATGCTGTTTTTTAATAAGGGTTTAATAAGGCATCTAATTATTTGGAAAACCTTGCATTTTAAAGATTTTACACAAATATGGCTTTGTAAAGTAAATGGACCAGCTTTACTCAAAGAAAGGTGGAGAAGGTTTTTGATTTTTTTTCAATCCCAAAAGTTGCTTGGCACAATAGAGTACCATCCAAACATTCATATTATTGAGTAACTGAGCCACTCATGAGGTACCCCCTTGAAAAATTGTCTGGATGCTGTTTTTTTAATAAGGGTTTAATAAGGCATCTAATTATTTGGAAAACCTTGCATTTTAAAGCTTTAGCATAAATATGGCTTTCTAAAGTAAAAGGACCAGCTTTACCCAAAGAAAGGTGGAGAAAGGTTTTTTTGTTCACTCCCAAAAGTTGGTGCTCACAATAGAGTACCATCCAAACAATTATATTATTGAGTAACTGAGGCACTCATGAGGTATCCCCTTGAAAAATTGTCTGGGTACTGTTTTTAATAAGGGTTTAATAAGGCATCTAATTATTTGGAAAGCCTTGCATTTTAAAGTTTTAACACAACTATGGCTTTCTAAAGTAAAGGGACCAGCTTTACCCAAAGAAAGGTGGAGAAAGGGTTTTGTTTTTTTTTTCACTCCCAAAAGTTGGTGCTCACAATAGAGTACCATCCAAACAATTATATTATTGAGTAACTGAGCCAATCATTAGGTATCCCCTTGAAAAATTGTCTGGGTGCTGTTTTTTAATAAGGGTTTAATAAGGCATCTAATTATTTGGAAAACCTTGTATTTTAAAGCTTTAATACAAATATGGTTTCCTAAAGTAAATGGACCAGCTTTACTCAAAGAAAGGTGGGGAAGGTTTTTGTTTTTTTTTCACTCCCAAAAGTTGCTTGGCACAATAGAGTACCATCCAAACATTCATGTTATTGAGTAACTGAGCCACTCATGGGGTACCACCTTGAAAAATTGTTTGGATGCTGTTTTTTAAAAAGGGTTTAATAAGGCATCTAATTATTTGGGAAACCTTGCATTTTAAAGATTTAACACAAATATGGCTTTTTAAAGTAAATGGACCAGCTTTACTCAAAGAAAGGTGGAGAAGGTTTTTGATTTTTTTCAATCCCAAAAGTTGCTTGGCACAATAGAGTACCATCCAAACATTCATATTATTGAGTAACTGAGCCACTCATGAGGTACCCCCTTGAAAAATTGTCTGGATGCTGTTTTTTAATAAGGGTTTAATAAGGCATCTAATTATTTGGAAAACCTTGCATTTGAAAGCTTTAATTTAAAAAAATGAAAAACAGAAAAACATTTTTAAGTAACTAATTTAAAAATAAATTCAAAAAATAGATAATTAATTAGGAACAATTAAAAAAAAAAATCTGGAAAAACATTTGCCACAATACAGGCCCCCCCCCCACCAAACAGCAGGTTACGGAGCAAAAAATTTGCCACAATAGAGTACCATGCTACTAATCAGGTGCCAACATTACCCAACAAATCACTGGAAAAAATTGGGGAAAGTAGGGAATATGATGGAATATGAATATAGTCATTGCCTGCCAATGTCTAGCATCAAACACCCTGCGGAAACCAGTTTTTTAGGGAGATAATAACAAAATTATTTGGAAGCGCGGGATGCGGTGCTTAATATTTGGGGGGATTGGAATACGTTGATACTTTATGATCTTTACGTGTACCAAAAACTATCATAACTTTCACAACTTCTGGTGTTATCATTAAAAACATACACACATAATCAACGGTATCAATATGATAATGTCATTATGGCCCTGTTTTATGTTATTGAACTGTTATCGTTATTATGGGTTTAAAAAAAAAAACATGGGCAGTTGTGAACCCATTGCCCCAAGTCGGGTGTTGCGAGAATAATTGTACTGGTCTAGGGTTTACCATGGTGTCGGTCGCTGATATTCTTTGCCGGATCATTGCTACTTGTCCAAGTGGGAGGTGGAACATGACCTGACAACCCCCCCAAAAAAAAACATTGGGAAACCATACTGTATCTAATATATCAAGATCCAAGAACCAACAAACAAAGGGTTTTGCCCAACCAACACAGACACTAAAATCAAACAAGATGTTTGGGCGCAACGGACATGATACTGCCAAACGTTATACCTTTCTTTTCCTAAATGTTCATTTTAACCTTTGACTCATACTCAGTAATCAAAGATTGCGCTGGACAAAAAAATGTGCAGATTTGTTGATGTTCCAAAGATTCCTAGTACTCAGTACTCGTATCAGTTGAACATTCTCACAAATTCAGCGTTTGATGTAGGTGGTTTCCTTATAGTTTCTTCATGGATGTTTGCGGCCCATGTGTCATCACAAGGCCTTGGCACTGGATGGCAACGTCTATTTGGGTCACTCCCTGAGCGTGCTGGCGGCGCAAGGAGACAGAGAAATTCACCACTGGATTTGGGGCTGTGCCTGGGTTTTAATGGGATACCCTCTGGTTACTTAACATAGCCATGGAAAATGGGCCATTTATAGGTGGTTTACCTATTAAAAATGGGTGGATTTTCTATAGCTACGTTAAATAAGCAGAGGGTATATAATATTATATAATCATGTCAGGACCTCTCAATTTTCTTACCACGCCAGGTGCTTTTAATCTGATAGTTTCATCAGATGGACAGACAGGCCTATTTGGCAGCGCCCCTGCCACCACAGGGGGCACCTTGACAGAGGGTATATAATTCTTAAAATTTCTTGAATTGAACGCCCCCCATGAAATATGGTGGCTGTAGAACTAAAGACACACTTTTTTTGCCATCAGTTCTGCGAGCCTTCCCAAAACAAGTTCACGGATTGTTGGCTGACGTCATTCAAGCATCACGCGATAGTAACACCCAAGAATCCCAAAGATAGACAAGTGATTGATCGCTATTTTAATAAGATCCTACTTTTCAATAACACACTGATTCAACTTATATAGATTCTAGATTTTAGTATGATTCTATTCTACTATTACTTTAGTATACTATATCACTATTTTAGCAATGTTTCTATTTTTTTGTGGGTTACACGCTAACCAAACCAACAAGTCAGCATCAGCTGCAGGATGCTCCGACATGCGAAAATGGCCTTTAGCAGCCAAGCATGCGGAGGCCGCATGGATCGAAATGGATCGATTTATTAAACCCAACAAATGAACTACTGAACAGAAATGCAAAACATTTTTGGCATTTAACAATCCCTGTGTTTTCTCTTGTTTATTGTACACATACATAGGTATACTATATATATAGTAGTATATAGGGCATTTATTGATGTTCATGTTTACTGATTCCGTTTAATTATTCTGTTGCTTCATATCTCTGCTTTTCCCCGCTGGGATGTCAGATTCACTTGTCATACCTCATTCCGGATGGGTACATAACCATGCGACCATCCCTAGTTAACCACAAATTTAATGGGCATATGATGGGATGTAATTACATGGGATGTAGTACATGTAATACATGGGATGTAGTAATACATATGATGGGATGTAATTACATGTAATACATGGGATGTAGTATATGGGAAACTGATATGCAGATACCATCGGAAATCAGAACTTACAGTCGACGTATTGATTGTACCCCTTGTAAAGATGGTCCCAAGCATGGATACTGAACAAAATGAAACTTGCCCTTGTGGAAAGTATACAGTATCATGTTCAACAATATTTGGTTGGTTTCACCATGTTTCACCGACTTTTTGTCTTTGCATACCTAGGATCTTGATCTCACCAGATTTCACTTACATTTCTCATCCAAGCTGTTTGAACCATGGGATGATCCCCCCAACGACGCCACCACCAGGCGGCCTTGAGCTGTCGTCCCGGAGACGTTGATGCCTTGGAGCTGCTATTCCGGGCGCAGAGCGAACTCATGGAACGCAGCAAAGCCCAGGCGGATGGTGGGCGGTGTTTTCAAGAATTTTCAAGATGAATCTTCCAAATTTTCCCATTAAAATCCGATTGGAACATGTTTAAACCAGCTGATTTTTCTGTTGGAACCTGTGTTTATTCAGGTGATGTTGGGATATGTTGGGATGGTCCCTGAAGTGATCCGAATCTCAGGAGACGCTTCAGACCTTGCGGTCTGTGAACCCTCAACGCTGCCAGCTGGCCCTATCGCTGGAGCCACCCTGGGAAGTGCCAATGGCGGATTGTTTTTTTTGCATGTGTTTACTACGTTACCTACATGTTTTTCTTGATCCAGGTTCTGGGAAATCTATGGAAATCTGAAATTGCTAGTGAATATATAACTAATAAATGATTGAAAACTGAGATTCAAATCGTAGAGTTTGGCATTGAACATCTGCCCAATTTAAGATGTTTATGGGCTTGGTGCAGCTTCCGAACGGGGATAGAATACAATGGCATTTTTCCACAGAGGGGGACCTTCCCAGCAAAACCTTTATCATCCTTCATTTATAGATTCTAGTTTGTATTCCAATGTTTTCTCATATGTTATATGTCCATATATGTCCCACATGTTCATTATGAAAACACCGCCGTTTTAGGGAAAATCCCATAGAGATGTCCCACTTCTCCCGCATCAAGGCATGTCCCTCCTCACGGAGCTGGCTTATTCCAGTCACTCTCCTGTGGCAGCCTTAACTCGGCAGGTCGATGTGGAAAGCCCACCATGTGTCGTCGATTTTCCTGGGAAACCATGGGGTGTTCCACATCTGTGTTAGTTTACCCTAGGGTAATGCTATTTATAGTTTCGCAAAGATGATATTTATTCAAAAGTTGGCGATTAAGCATGATTGGCAATCAATTATGTGGCTTAATTACATGAGAATTGGTTGCACACTGAGAACAACTATGATACATTATGTATAGTGAATTGTATGATAACTGATTGGACGAGCTACAGGAGTGAAATATTATATATTATAACTAATAACCCATTATAACTATTAACTGATAAGTGCATACTGGTTAAATATGATAATAACATAGAATAAAATAGTAACTATACTTAATTAATCTTAATTATTTAATACTTATGTAATAATGAATTGGCAAGCATTGACAAACTATGCGAACCAAAGTAACTATAGTAGAAACTCTCTCTGTCTCTCTCTTTATACATATATATATATATATATATATGTATGTATACAATTTATATATATATATACATATATATATATATACACATATATATATATATATATATATTTGAGAACCCCGGGGAAAAAACAGTGCCCCATATGTATATATATATATATATTAATATTGTACATGTTGGAAGGCACAGAATTCCTGCGTTTGTTTTCATCTCACTTCCGACTTGGGGAGGAGTGGCTTCCCCGTTTCCACTAGGGGAGTTCCAAGTGCCACAGGTTGAGCGACACCGTTGGTTGTCGGAGGCCGTTTCCTGCGCTGGGGGCACTCAGTGGAAAATAGTGGAAAGGCGGCATCTGAACATCCGGGGAGATGGAAATCATTAGCTAACGCTGACAACGATGCCCGTTAGTAAACTAATATAGATGCTGAACTCCTTGAGAAGGCGATGGAGAGAGATGGAAAGATATGGAACATCCACCATCTAATAGGTCATTTTCTATGAAAAGCAGGGGTTTTCCAAATATATATATATATATATATCGATCTGCTTCAGGAGCATTTAATATTTTAATTACGTGTGCAAAAAACATCAAAAAACATGCTCATGCATATAATATGTTTGCGAGAGAATCGCCCTGTGTTAGTGATCTTGCTTCATGTTGACTTCTATCCGTGAAAATTTTAGGAACCAATGATGGGACCTTCACTCCCATAAGCTTCTCAGTATGGGAAATGTCGTTCCCATCAGCCAGGGGTCCCTGTCTATACCGTCCACCAATATTCCCTGAGTGATTTAATGTATATCATTTCGAATCATCCAGTAGAATTATAGTATTCCATAGATATGTATATATATATATATCATTATATTTCCCAGAAAACAACCTTTTTTCCTGTATATATAATAGTATAAAGTCATTCTATAGTTGTTAGTAATAGTATACATCTACTAGTGTGTAACAGTGTGTATATATATATATATATCCAGCCGCTGCAAGGCCCGTGGGGACGCTTCCAGAAAGCTCTTGCATGACCTCGGGGAGGCGGTGGTTTCGCCGGCACCGCACTGGGCATTGACCTTTTTGTTTCCGGTTTCTTATTTCACTCAGATTATGACTTATATCCCATAGGATCCATGTATGCTATATATGGTAACATTTACCATCAATATATCCCCAATGATACCATATATACATGAATCCTATGGGTATTGTTGTTTGTGAAACTATATGAAACTCGCATTGTTGGTTGATCTTTCATGTTGTCTCCGGCCCCTGTTGAGGCCAGCTTGGTGATCGACCGCCGGGACGAAGCCATGTCGTACTTCGAGCAGGTGATGCCGGATGGGTTGGACACAGCTGAAGACAAACATGGGTTTAAATTTGATGGGATTCAATGGGATTTGATGGAATTTAATGAAATTTAATGGGATTTACTGGAAGCTCACGAGAATTCATGGGATTGAAATGGAATCTAGTGGGATTTCATGGGCTTTTAATGGAATCCGATGGGATACAAGTAACCGGAAAGAATTGGGTTTACATCTGAAAGTGGGCTAGTTGCCTTCCAATCTCATGGCCTTTTTAATGGGGAAAATGATGATTAGCCATCCAAATTTAAGGGGTACCCGCCCGAGGCACCCCTAATTTTGGGTGATAAACCCACATGGACTCAAAAGAAGAGGGGGTTGGACCGTGGTTTTCACTCTTCAAACGTTGCAGTTGAGGGGTGCCATTTGTTGTTTCCGAGGGTTAGCCAGGTCCTTTTTCTTGGGAAGCTTGTATGAAACCTTTCCAGGTTCAGCGATCCAAACGGACAAAGAATTCAATGGACCATCTTGACAAAACGATATAAACGATAGATTTACTTGCTCCCAATTTTAATTGCTCATGACTAAGTAGAACAACGACGATTGTTGGCAATGAAGTTTGTTGAATCCAAACATTTATTTATCAAAGAAATAGTCGTAACATTCCCAAACATTCGTCAAACATGTCTTATTTGATGATACTCAACCGATGCCTTCACCATTCGTCAAAGAAATCAGCGGCACAGGCCTTTCAGCATCCTGACGGGCCTGACGTGGACACGGCCAAAGCATTGGTCAGGATGCCCACGCCATGGCTCCAGGGTGCCTGAAAAGTTGATGGTTGATGGACGTTGATGGGTGAATTTTCCTGGTTAGAGCCATGTTAAAGCACCAGAGATTGGTTCCACATGGTTAATTTGTGAGAACCTGTGAGGTGATTGCATGATGGAACATGCATATGGTCATCACTGCATCCCTGCATGCAGGATGATGCTTTGATTTTTGAAACCTTGGTTGGTTTGGGTTTTTTTGATGAGATCCATTGGAATCTTAATTACTTGAAACGACATTTGAGTAGTTCGTTCCACGTCATTCCCATGAGTTACTCAACATGTATGCTGAGGCAGTGATGATAGACGTCGCTACAATCATGTGTGGTACACTGATATTCAATTAGAATTAACTGGCTTTGGACTAACTAACTATACCATACTATACCTATATTTTAGTTTTTGACTAATTATACCTGTATGATATATTTATCATATATATATATAGTTGTTTATTTATTCATAATAATATTGTAAGCGTCGTTTGTTCATGTCAAAAACATGTCACTCCGACCCGGTGGGATTCCCCTCTTCGAGGCACAGATGTATGTCCGGAAGGATCGCACCAAGGATGCCTTGGAAGTGTACCGAGCACTGGCCTTAGGGCCGCTCCGGTGTGTGTGTGTGTGTGTGTGTGGGTCAAGTTCTCTAAACTCAGGAGGTCAAGGTATATAGTAACATCTAGTAACACCGGAAAAGATAGCAAAATAAGTTATCACTATTTCAAACATTTAGTGTTTCTATCTATTTGGTGTTGCTATGTAGATAGGTCTCCAGACTTGATGCATGGGGCCCAGGGGCTGGGATGATCCCTGAAGTTACTAAATGGATACTAGCAGCTCCTAGCTGCACCCGGTCCCCAGAATTGATTGACAGGAACAACCTACACAGCAGGAAGGGCCCCCAAATGATAGGCAAATTGGTTTATAACTACACTAACAATTGGATTTATCCTGCATGGTTAGATGTGGTTATAAAGCCAACAAGCACAACTGGGGGCCCCACGGTACTGGTATGCAATATTCCGATTATATCCCGATGTTCTACTTTGATTTGCCCACAAAACCATCTTGAATGCGGGTTATATATCCCATATTGTACCTCATTATATCCCATCTACATAATGGAGAGAGAGAGAGAGAGAGATAAGTATCTATATATATATGATCATATATATATATATATACAGTGAGAGAGAGAGAGAGAGAAGCAACACAGTTTCCCTTGCAAGGTGGCGCTGCAGAGTTCGCCCGGCAGCTTGCCTCTCATCCGCAACTACGGCCAGTTGCTCCTAAAGGACCGCTCCAACGGGGATGCCAGTGACACACCCTGAGAAATTCATCGAAATTGCAGGTGGAAGGTGAACAAAAATCGGATCTCAAAGTTCCAAGGAGGATTTTGCTATGACATATTCATGATGGATGCTCCAGATTTCAAGTCGTGTTTGCGTGTTGGTGGTGTTTTTATTGCTTGGAGGATCTTGGAGGTATCCAAATTGACAACCAATTGGTGGTATCGACCACCCAAATATGGGTGCTTTATGATTGCTTTACTAACATGAACCATATAGCCTCTGTCAAATAGCTGTGGTAGTTATGCCGAATCATGTCAAAGATTCACGAGGTTCTCTTCTCAGATGATAGTGTGCCAGAATCCCCAAAAACCGCCACTCAAAAAGCTGTGTGTTTCCCTCCCAACCAGCGTTTCACGCAAGTGTAGGTCAGAATTATGAAGACAGTACCATCCCTGAAAAAGATAGTCGGTAGACAAAATAACCAACGAAAAATGATCGTTCACTGTTCACTGTTTAGTTCATTTTTTCACGAAAGCTAGCGTCAGCTAGCTGGAGTCTTCTTGCTTTAGCAAGTATTGGGGGGGCTGCTCAAGGACATCACGTGATTTTTCACGCGAAAGGGCCCCCCCCTCTCCCCCACCACCACCACCATCACCACCATCACCACCATCATCATCATCATCATCATCATCGTCATCATCATCATCGTCATCATCATCGTCATCGTCATCGTCATCGTCCTCTCCATCGTCCTCGTCCTCGTCATCATCATCATCATCATCATCATCATCGTTATTCAATTACATTTTATCATTATTGGCAATTATTGTCATTATCACGAAAGCTAGCGTCAGCTCGCTAGAGTCTTCTTGCTTTAGCACGTATTCCGGGGCTCCCCAAGGACATCACGTGATTTTTCCCGCGAAAGGGCCCCCCCCTGCCCCCTCCCCCATATATATCATTGTTATATATCATATATCAATATATCATTGTTGCATCCTCGTTGGGACGAACAATGCCGCGACACGATGATGACAGTCCTTCCGCAACTCACCTCTTCCCTTCCTTCTTTCTCCTACCCCGCTAGCTTTCGTCATCCACCCCCGGCCTCAAGTCTGCATCTTCTTGGGAGTAACACTCCAGGAGGGTCGAAGCAGTGAAGCCATTGGTGCCATCAGCAGAGGCACTCTGGGGAACGCAGCTGATGTGATTCTGAATGGGTGATCATTACAAAGTTCTATGTTTTTTTACCGTGTTTTACACGGTTTTTCAGATCGTGTGCACGGATGAGGTTGACTTTTGCCCGCTTTGGAAATGATGTTTTTTTTTTTGTTTGATCAGTGGTTGAAGATGTGGCAGTTAACTGTAGGATTTAAGACTGTCATTTGATTACAAGCGATTGAAATGTCATAATGTCAAAGAGAACCATGGGCGAAATGCAGATTGTGATTTTCTTTTGCATCCACAACGCGGTTTTAAAATGTTTTAAACGCATCACTGGGTTTGAGAGCCTGATGCACTTTGACAACGACATCTCAGATTCCATAATGGACTGGACACACGGCTTTCGATGGACGCAAAAACATATGATAAAATATTGCGGTGTTCCATTTTGTCCTGGCTCGAACCCAATTGCCCAAGTCTATGAAATTGTTTTTTCCACCTTTATCAAACTTCAACGTAGCAACATTTTCAATCTAGCAACATCTCCAACGTAGCAACATCTCCAACGTGGCAACACCTCCAACATACCTCCAACGTAGCAACATGTTCAACGTAGTAACATCTCCAACGTAGCAACATCTCCAACGTGGCAACAGCTTCAACGTAGCCACTGCATGCCCCCACTCTTGCTTCGCCTTAGCCTTGCCGAGGGTTGTGCAAAACCTTCATTACTGACAATAGGGAACGACCCCTTATCCCGATACCCTTTTTTTGCATGAGTCGCCTCAAAGTCTGTGAAGGCAGAAATCCACTCTACCGATAGGAGAGGTCCCTAATTTGTGCATGGCATGAAAATGAACAAGTAAGTTCGTCCGCCATTCATATGCCCACACATTTCCCCACATGTATACAATAGAAACACAGGATTACACATGTAATTCCACACGTCTATATTTGTATACTGTATATATATAATTATATATATATATTATATTTATACATATTGTGTGATGATTTGTTATGACTTCATTATTTGTTCTAATCGGAAAATCTACGGAAATCTACATTCTAGATGAACAAATAACTATATACATCTATAATTATACTTATTACATCCTATTAAGATATAAATCATATAAATGAGCATTTTCCGGTACCAAACTACCAGGTTAGATTACTCGATCTTGTTGTTAATCTCCCATTGCCATGTTCGACTTCTGGATGCCTTGGGAGGGTAGCAGTGAAAGAGCCAACAACAGTGATCTTCTTGAGAATGGTTTCGAAGCGGTACAGACCTGGAATATGAGGAAGCGCCATAATAATCCATAATGTGCCATGGTTACAGATACCCTCTGGTAAACTAACGTAGCTTTAGAAAATGGCCATAATTTGATTTACCCATTTAAACTTGTGATTTTCCATAGTTATTTGTATGTTTACCAGTGGGTAACCCATGTGGAACATCTAATAGAGGCAGTCCTGCTTCGTTGCAACGGCCAGGTGCACGACTGGCTCCTGCGAACGAAGCTTCTGCTCTGCACCTGTTGTTGGCAGTTGGGCTGCTCAGCCACCAGCCACAGACCTTGCCGTGCTCCGACGTAGTTACCCAGTAAATTAGCAACTGGGATACATCCAAAGATAGCGCAAAAAGATATGCAGTATAGTATTATATGTTTGTATGATAAATGCTTATCAGATGTAATCAGTGGTGATCACCCATCAACCCTCCAGCCTAACCCAGCCATGGGAACCCCGGTATCATACCGACCCATAGAGGTGGAACTCATCCATTCTAGGCCTGGTGTGAGGTCCTTCTGGGGCCCACATCGATTCACTGTTTGTTCACAACTTGGCTGAAGCCCTCCTAAAAACAATACAGAAACGCGCAGAGAGAGAGAGAGAGAGAGAGGAGAGAGACAGAGAGAGAGAGAGAGCGAGCGGGAGGGAGGGAGGGAGGGAGAGAGATCTATAAAAATATATATATATATATATATATATTTGTGCGATTCTGTGTGTGTGTGCGTATGTCTATATGTATATATGTATAGATATATATATATATATATATACATAATTAATCGATTACCCGTATGTGTATATATATATATATATAATCAATCGGGATCAAGCAGGGCAATTGCATGTGACCCCCATTTATAGAGGGATTTCCTATTAAAACCTCCGCTTCCGAGGGATTTGCCTGTTAGCCACGTTTGATTACCAGAGGATCCAGAGGGTATTCCATTAAATATCCCAGTACCATCATTTACCATTATCAACCATTATTAACCATAGTTATTGGCCACTGTCAGCCATTGTCAACCATTATTATTCAACCCTTATCAACCATTATCGACCATTACTAACCACTATTATATAACCACCTATTGGTTAGTAATGGTTGATAATAGTGGTTAGTAATGGTCGATAATGAACCATCATTAACCATTATCAACCATTACTAACCATAGTTATTGACCACTGTCAGCCATTATCAACCATTATTATTCAACCCTTATCAACCATTATCGACCATTACTAACCACTATTATATAACCACCTATTGGTTAGTAATGGTTGGTAATAGTGGTTAGTAATGGTCGATAATGAACCATCATTAACCATTATCAACCATTACTAACCATAGTTATTGACCACTGTCAGCCATTATCAACCATTATTATTCAACCATTATCAACCATCATCGACCATTACTAACCACTATTATATACCCTCTGGTAATTTAACATAGCTATTGAAAATGGCCATTAATAGTGAGTTTTCCCATTAAAAATTGTGATTTTCCATAGTTATGTCAGTTTACCAGAGGGTAACCCATGAAAATCCACTATAAATGGCCATTTTCAATAGCTATGTTAAATTACCAGAGGGTAACCACTATTATATAACCACTATTTAGCGTTCTGAACCACCTATTGCTGTGGCGCTCAGCTATGAAGCTGCCCCCCAGGAGTTGCATCAGGGCCTGGGTCAAATGAGCGAGGCCCTGATTGCTTGGGAGGCGCCCCATTGCGGTGATTTCTGGGAGGAAAAAACCCAGCCCTTGAAGATGGAAAACATCGCATCAGGAAAACCTCACCTAGTTTTTTGTTGAGTCTAGCAAAACTAAGCCCATCAGAAAACTCATGTGATGTTTTTTTGTGAAAGATTGAAACAAAGAATTTGAAACATGCGCCAGGCGGCTGCCAGCCTCAACCCTGAGAGTCAGAGCGCCGGGGAATGGTTGGGATGGATGACTTTTTTTGGTACCTCCACATCCCATAATGGCTAATTACTAACCAGATTACATCTATAATTGTGGTGATACAATATACATAATTTCAGGAGACTGGGAAAACACATTTTGCAGAGCCTCAAATTTGGTGAAATTAGTTTAAAACTGACAGAAATCTCTGGTCCTCTCAAGTATCAATGACTACCCACCCGCCCACGAAATCAAACATCATCTAGCTGGGATGATCCCATAGGCTTAGGATGGCTCAACTACCGACCAGATACTTGGTCAGATGTTTCTGTTCATCATCACTTACCTTGGAGAAGCAAAAAATGGTGGAGAAATGATGCGACGCATTCCTTCAAGATGTTGAGCCATTCACAGATAAAACCACCATTCACCAAAATTTATTTCATATTGACTGAAATGCGCTTGTGAACTCCCCGCTCTGGTTGATAAAACATGAAAGAAACATGCCAAAGAAGAATGGTTTCAACATCACAGAACTGTTTAGCACTCCCAAAAAACATATAGAATCAAACATAATCAAACCCTTTTTTTCGGGTGTTCCAAGTTCAGAATCCTCGAGAGCTGGGGATGGGTCAAGGTGTTGCCGCCTGGCGTGGCTTGGCCGCCGCTGCGCGGTCCGACGGACAGCTGCACTTGAGATCCCTCCGAAACTTGGTGAGGCCGAAATCTGGTGAATCCCCAAGTCACGGGAGTTTCAATACGAAGTCACGGTCGAATGAGTCTAATTAATGTCTTTGGGGGGTATCCCTATGAATTAGGAACCCCCGAACCCCCATGTCTTGGGGATAACCCCCGAGCTTTGGATCACGACATGGAGATTTGGAGGTCAAAATTAAAGAGATTACAGGGGAACCACCGAATTTAGTCCACTTTTATATAGTATTAAATTAACCATCCAATGATTGGGATACCCAGGTTTGACCCATAGCCATTTATGAGCAGCAAAGATGGAGAATGGCTGTAGATTATGATATGAATTTGACGAGCAAAACGTGGATTAAGAGGCTGGTGAACCAGCAAATGGACATTTACAACGGCAGAAACTGAGAAATCTGAGAATAATTAGATTTACAAACTGTTTGGGGATGTTATGGGATGTTCGAAACACCAACTGTTTGGTGTAAAACGAAGATCGTAGCAGTGCTTCATTTGATGAATGGCCAACTGGAGGATATTATATCCACCGAAGAGATGGGATAGCAACAGCAAGGTCGCTTCAGTCAAATTTGTGTTCGTGAAGTCATGTGAAGTCATGTGAAGTCCTCCATTCTCCGACCCTGCACTACCCTGCCATATCAATCCCAACGCCAGAATCATAGTGTCATAGTGTTTGTTAGTTATATATATCCTTAACTATCCGGTGGTAGTCAGGAGGGAGCTCAGCAGATAGGGCTATCTCATATTTCCTTTTAGATGCGGAGCCAGGGAACTTGTAGGAGTGTCCCAACCCATCAAAAACAAGCAGTCCAACTTCCGGGGAGGAAGCCAACCTGCAGGTTGGAGCCCGGTAATGCCGAATGGCACGCTCAACTGGGCGCCCTTCGTTTGGCCATGGGACCTAAGGGTTCAATGCGGAGGATGTTTTTTTCCACGCTTCGTGTGTGTGTGTGTGGAACAAATGGGCATGAGGTGGCATGAGATGGTATGAATAGAAATCTGAAATCTTGTTTGCACGGTCCCTTCTTAACATTCCAACATGTGGATGTTGTTCACCCACGCCCTCATATATGACATAGATTATACACAATATATCTATATCTACTTGATTCTACTTGTACATGTGGATCCATTGGCAAATATCCTCCATGCTATTGTTGTTAATGTTGCACTTTATCATTATTATTGGTGAGTATCAGCACAATTCACCGAGATCTGAACCCATCGCGA